CAACTGTGCCTGAGCACAGGTCAGGCCCTGCTGCATCTTCTTCCCACAAACAGCCAAGGGCCACTGTCCTACTTGTCAAACTTGGCCATATCACTTGCCTGTCCCTCAGGAGGACCCCCAAGGCCATGAACAGTCCTGCAGAGCCTGGCCACTCTCCATCTTCATTTACTCTAGCCCCTCTTGTATACTAACCAGGGACCACTGGGACCAACTGCCTACTACATTCTCCCTTCCTACATTCTCAGCCTCCAAAGCCCAGGTCATCTGACCTTCTCTGTGAAAAAAAGTGGATGCCCTCTTCTCCTCAGTGGTCCCACTGCCCCTCACATGCCCTCCTTACCTCCTCAGCCCTAAGGGACAGAACCATTTGTCCAGCTCCTCACTGAGACATGCCTGAAAGCAGGCCTCATATCATGGTGACTTCAAGTGGCATTCTACAGCTTTTTCCAAAGAAGGAGGGAGTGGGAAAAGCACAGGCCCTGGCCAAGCCTGTGGTATGTAGAAAAGACCACATTGCCCCAGGATCCCCAGGGGCCAGGCCCAGGTGCAGGGCCTCCAGTTGCAGTGCTGACCTGTCCAAAGCCTTCCTCATGCCCAAGGAATCCCCAGCATCCCTCAGAGGCTTCTCATCCTGGCCGGCACAAGGCCAGGCACAAGGCAGGCAGGCATACCTGTGTTGAGAGCAGGCATACATTCTGCCAACAGGTAGTCCCCCCCAAAAAACCAGTGAAAAGCCAACTGAGAATTCAAAGCTGCCAAAGAAAAAAAGGAGGGGAGAAGGGACTGCATCAAGTCAACAGGAGGCTTTTTGGATGGTCTGGCACACAGCATAGAGCACGAAGAGCCACCTGAGGGGCCCTTTTCTTTCTGGGCCAGATTGCCCCCTTTATACAAAGAGGGGTACTGAGACACAGGGGATAGAGGTCAGGGCCAACCCAGAGTCCACCCAGCTATGTTGTTAGAGCCTCCTATAAACTGACCCATTGGGCAAGTCCCTCTCTGCCCTGGGCCTCAGTTTCGCCATCTGTTGGCTGAGAAAATCCTCTCTGCTTATCTCCTCCAGAGAAGATTCACTGCAAGTTAAGTCAGCTCCTCCCTCACGCTTCCCTTTCCTGGTACTGCCAGCCACACGCATGGGGCAGGCCAAAGGACCGGTGCCAGCTAGGAGCAGAGACTTCTCGGGATTTTTGGGATTCTTCCTGACTGAAGCTGCCTTGGACAGAGTGCCTGGAGGCTTTAGGCCTGCCTCCTGGCACGTCCTGCAGAGACCAGGACCTGCCCTGTCACTTTCTGACTCACCAGACTTGCCTGAGGCCTCTGCATCCCTCCAAGGACCCCTGAGGAAAGTCTGGTGGATGCCATTTGGATACACCAGACTGGTAGGGCTCCAGGGCAGCAACTCTGGTAAACACCCCAAATCTATGGCAGTGACTTCAGTTCCATCCCTACCTCACGGCCCTGGGGATCCCTTTCCTTGGACTTTAAAAGATCTGTCTCAGTGCCTCCAATCTCTCCAAATCGGCTTTGTATACCACCACAATCCACGGGAAAAAAAGTCTGGGGATGTCATGGGGGTCTGTAGCTACTTCCGACACGCTGCCATCAAGGCAACACAGAGCTCTGGTCCAGACCTGCCCACATTTAAATCATACCCCCATGACTCCCTAACTGTGTGACAAGGCCCAGTCATGTTACTCTCTGGGTCCCAGTTTCCACAGCTATAAATGAGATAATACCATTAGCTCGTGGGGTGGTTGAGAGGACTCAATAGACAATATGTGTGAGGTGCTCAGCAAGCCCCTGGTGTTTAGCAAGAACACAATCCAAAGTCCTTAACCATAAATCACTTTTCCCATTCTGCCATTTATCTACTAGCTAGGTAACTTTTGGCATGTGGCTTCACCTCTCTGGCCTCAGTGCCTCTCCATATGGTTGAAGGATTAATGGAAAGATCATTTTCAAATCCACTAGCATAGCACCTGGCACATAGTTGTTGTTGTTGTTATGTGCCGTCGAGTCGGCCCCGACTCATAGCGACCCCTCCTTGGGTTTCCGAGGCAGTATCACTACGGAAGTAGGATTGCCCAACCTTCCTTCCGAGGAGTGGCTGGTGGGTTTGAACCGCCAGCCGTCTGGTTAGCAGGCAAGTGTCTTAGCCACTATGCTACCAGAGCTCCCTAGTAGGGGCACTCAAAACATGGCAACCGTGAGGATTACTGTTTGTAAGGAGGCCTTAGAAAGAGGCTGAGGAACAGCCCAATGTACCACCCGTTCTACCTGCTCAAATCGGGTCAAGTCGGAGCTGTGTATCCAGCTGTTGTCATGGAACCCAACTAGGGGAGACACTCCAGCTAGGTGTGGCTCCAGGACCTGGGAGGCCAAGAAAAACCTTAGTTTGGGGCTTGTTATCAATCCCTTGGTGGTATCCAAGACCCTGCTCTGACGCTATCCATGCTGCCACCAATGGGTCTCTGGGCCATCTTTGGGGTCTCTGGGTTGGGGGACATACGCCGATGGATCTGGCCCGGACCCAACTCAAAAACAACAGGGTGTTGGCTGTTTGGAGAGATGGCTTGTGAGGCAGGGGTCTCAAGCCACAGGCCGGGATGGGGTGTGGGGAAGGAGAGGCAAGAACCCAGAAATCACTCTCTCTTAGGCTAAGTCTCAGACCCCAGAAAAAGTCAAATGAGCTCAAAACTAGCTTCAGGTCCCCAATGTCACTGTCTGCTCTCTCTGGTCACACCCGCCCAGCAGTAAACAGGTACCTAGCAGGACCAAGTACCCAGCCTCAGGGGATTTGATGTCAGCTCTTCTCTCCTCAGCCTCATCAGGGACGGGAGAGGCTGTTTGGGCTCAGCTGGATTCAAGGAATCTGTGTCTCCTTGCCAAGTGAGAAGGGGAGGCAGAAGTGAAATCCAAACGCTGTGGACCGAGGCCTGAAACTTTCTAGATTTTCCCAGATGAAGGGGCAGGTTTAGGGTAGATGAAGAATCCTATAGGTAGGGGAACAGAGGCTCCAGGACCTGGGAGGCCAAGAAAAACCTTAGTTTGGGGCTTGTTATCAATCCTTTGGTGGTATCCAAGTCCCTGCTCCTCAACACATATGCAGCCTCCCTGCAGAATCTACCTGCTTCCTGTAAGACATGGGAGGGGCTGGGGCCTGGGCTCTCTGCCCACAGTAAGCACAAATGCTGCAGTTTTTTGCCTGGGCCAGACATGGTACATGCATTATCCATTCCCCCTCACAACCCTTGGGATGGGTATGACTTCCCCATTTGACAGAAAAGGAAACAGACTCAGAGGCAGAACAGGGTAGTGGTTAGAAGCACACCCTGAGTTTGAATCTGGGCTCTATCAACTCTCGAAGCCTCAGTGTCCATTTCCATAAAATGAGGGTAATAATATTATTCCTGCTCCACAGCATAGTCAAGGGGTTAAGTGAGAAGTTGTAAAATGGGGAGCATACCATCCATAAATGCTGGCTCTTAGAATCAGAGAGGCTAAGTAATTTGCCCAAGGTCACGCAGCCAGTGAATGGTGGACTCTAGGCCCTCGTTCTGGGCACAGCCCTCTCCCAGAAACCTTGGGCCCGTGTGGGTGGCTGCAGATAGCTGACTTCCCAGCAGCTGCCAACAGTCCCTACCCCCGCTGAGAAGGGCAGCCTGTTCAAAGTTCCTCAGATAAGGGGCTCCCAGCAGAGCAAGGAGCCTCCAGGCTGCAGTGGCCAAAGCACACAGAAAAGGCATCCCATCCTGTCCACACCCGAGAATCCTAAATTTGGATTAGGCCACTCGCTCGTCTCCCTTCCTCCAGCAGTACTTTCAACCTTCGGATTCATCCAACAGGCCAAGTTAGGTTGTAACTGCCACCTGCAAGGTCCCTGGCAAGCCACTTACTTCCTCCCTCTGGGCTTCAGTTTCCTGCTCTACAGCATGCACCCTCATCCTTGAATAATAAGGCAGCTCTGGCTAACTGAACCCACAAGGAGGCCTGAAGGAGCAAAGGGACACACCATGCAAGGGAACAAGGATGTCCCAGGGATTGGGCCAGGCCCTGCATTGCACTCTCTTTCACCGAAACCACCGCTGAGAAAGGGCTTGTATTAGATCCATTTTCCAAAAGAGGAAACTGAGTCCCAGAGAGTGAGAGAGCCAGGACTGAACTCCCATCTGTTAGATTCCAAGGCTCTCTCCTGAGTAGGCCAGAGCTATGGGACCCTGACGCGAGTAGGGAGAGGGGGAGGTTCAGCCAGATGAGCATAGTCTGGGAACTGTCACGTTCAGCAATAAGCTGGGCAGCTGGACCTGCCCAGATGGGGAGGGACACAAAACCCAACTTGAAGGAGCCTCTTTTAGAGCAGGCAGCAGCCTCCTCTACAAGAGCATTTGCAATGCAAAGCAGCCCAGCTCCAGCCAGAAGGGGACAGTCACTCAAAGGGGCCTGGGAGGGCCAAAATCTAGCCACCTCCCTCCAGCCACCCGTGGCGGCTTTCCCAGCCTCTGGAGAGTGCCGGGCAACCTGTGGCTGGCAAAGACTGTAAATCATATGACAGCTCAAGTGGCCAGATGGGGTGTGAAGGCAACCTGGGTTACAGGTGGCCTGGGACACCCCTCTCCCCCAACCCTCTAAAAGCACAAACTCCACTGGGCTCATCGGCTCATGGCAAGTCTGTAGAATAGGTATACTGAGATACACTGAAAGGTGCATGCAGGGCCCCAAGTCACGGCGGAAAAAATACACCCCCAAATATTGGGATGGTCACCTGCAGCCAAATACCCTGCCAACTTCTTCAGGTGCAGCCTCCCAATCGGCCAGTCCAGCTTTGTGCACGCGCGCGCGCGTATACACACACACACACACACACACACAATTCCCAGGACTCTCCCTGGCCCCTAAAGGGGCGCTTTCACTCTTGCCAAGTGGCTGTGTTTCGCTCATCACTCCACTCCACTGCAGGCATCAGGCTTCCAGAGGGGCCAATGATCGCCTCTAGCGCCTACCTTGACGACAAGCTGACAAAATCCCCGCCATCCAGCAGCCGGACCTTGCAAAAGAGGACCCCATTCACGAAGGGGACCGCAGTCAGCTCCTCCAGGGTAAAAGTGGTTTGGAATTTGAATTTCTTCTTCTTCATCAAGAAAGCCATGGGCGAGTTCCCTGAGTCAGAAGCCCCAAAGGCCAACAAAAAAGAGAGGCAGAAATCCCCAGGATTCCTTTTCCTATACCACACCCCCTCCTCAAAACACCAGGTATCTCCCAGGAGGTGGCGGAGGCGGCAGAACTAGTGGGGGTCTGAGAGTCCAGTCCAGTTCGCAGGCCAGCTGGCTTCACCCTCGAGGGGCCGGGGCTCGGAGGGGCTCGGAGCGGCCGGGGGCTTCACCGGCATGTAAACAGCGGGACATGGCCCATGAGGCAAGGGCAGGGGTGGCGGGCGGTGCGCGAGCGGCCGCTCTGGCGGGCAGCATCCCGAACCGCGGTCCCCTAGGAGCTCACTTCGCGCGACTAGGCGCGGCGGGCGGACCGGTGAGACTGAAAGCTGCTGGCATACCCGTGAGGCTGAGGGCGGAGACCGGCCCCGCCCCCGCCCCGCTGGCGGCTAGGGGAGGCACCCCTGCCGCGCACACGCCCCCGCACCTGGATACCAGGCGGCCTGCGCAGGTGAGTCCAGGGGGAGGCTGAGGGCACCCACAGGGGGCGGCAGGGAGCTCGGGGGGGGGGGGCGAGGGGCTCTCCAGGAGACACGTTGGAGGCGCTCTGTGCCGGTGTCTTGGGTCCGGCGTCCGCGCTCAGGCCGGCAACGTCCGGCCGTCGGCCTCCTCCGGGCGGGCACCCGGCCCAGCCCCAGGCAGCCGTTTGTTTCCTCTTCGGTCCTAGATCCCGCGCCCCGGGCCCTGGCGGGAACTGAGGCACCACTCTGGCCCGGCCAGTGGCGCCTGCCTTGCCCGCCGCCTCTGCCCAGCGCTCCCTACGTCACCGCCGGCGCCCGCTCGAGCCCAACGCTGCGAGGCGCAGCTGAGAGAATGCAGACTCCTTCTGCGGCCGCCCACGGAGCCGCGGCCGAGAGTGGGAGGGGCGGGGCGCCGGCGGCCCAGCCCGCCCGCGATTGGGCAGCCGGGTGGGGTGGGTGCGGAGAGGCGTCCCTGCCGGGATTGGCGGACGGCGGCAAGAGGCGGGACCGTGGGGGGAAGGCAGAGGTGGCTAAGTGTCTTGGATTGGTGAGCTGGGCAGCTGTATCCGCCTCCTCCGGGGCGGAGGGAAAGAGCCCCCCCCCCCCGGAGAAGGCAGTGGGGGGTCGCGGGGCGGGGAGCCGGAGCTGCCTGGGCAAGGAGAAGAGCGCGAGAAGAAAAGAAACAATGAGGAGGAGAAACCATTTGAAAACTCTCCCTGGAACAGCCTTCCAGTATTCCTCTAGACTTGGGCTCGTTGAACACCAAATCAGGCCTGGGAGATAGTGAGTCCCATTATCTCAGACGGCTGACACGCGAGGGTTAACTGGGACTAGACCCAGGTGTTCCACCTCTGAATCTCTACTTCTCAACACTGAGAAGTGTCTGAAAAGGTTTCGCCAAGGGGGTGACTTGAACCTTGTGACCCAGCTTCTTTCATCCTAAGCTGTTATCTAACCCTTCTGTTGTCGTTCAGTTTCTTGCCTAGTTATGGCTGGTCCACCCCACCCCACCCGTTGGATTAACTGCTCTGTAGGCAGGGACTGTCTCCAGAGCCTCGGACCTCCCAAGCCTGGCACAAAGAAGGCCCTCGACAGACTGTAGTTCATTTATGCAGTCACCAAGTATTTAGCAAGTAATCTGCTCTGAGCCAGGCTCTGGGACCTAGCATGAGCCCCGCAGGTCTGCCTTCACCAAGCCGGTGGATAAGAGCTGAAATAGTGGACAGAAAAGAGTCAAGTGGAGTTCAAAGGAGGGATCTGAGGGGGAGACAGGGTGCTCAGAGAGAAGGCTTCTTACATGAAGTGACCAAATGACCTAAGCCACCCGCAGGATGCAAGCGGGATCCAGGCAGAGAGCTGTCGGCCAGAGAAAACGCAGTGCCCACAGAAACTTTCAAGTACCAGATGGCTGCATTGTTACTTGAGAGAGGTGAGATAGGAGACTGGAAAGGCTGGCAGCAGCCATATGTAGGCCAAAATAAGGAGTTTAAATTTTGCCAAGGCACTGAGGGTTCACTGACAGGTTTTAAGCAGGTCAGTGATACGTCAGTTTTGATTTTCATTGTAAGAAACTTCCTCTGGCTGTAGGTGGTGTAGAGGAAAGATGGGAAACAGATACAGGTGTGAGAGGCCACTTGTGATCTAGGCATGAGGATGATAGAAGGTTAGCATTGGAGGAAAATGAGAGGATGGATCTCAGCAGCATTCAGAGGCAGATCTAACTGAGTTTAGGGATGACTTAAGTCAGAACATATAACCAAGGACTCAGGTTTTTAATTTCTTCCTACTTCCCTCTTTCAGTTTTCCTAGGTTCCCCCCCTCCCCCCCGTTTTCTAAATGATGAGACAAGCTGGAAAGAAGCACGGATCACCACTCATTTTATGGCTGGGAAAACTGAAAGAGGGAAGTAGGAAGAAATTAGAAACTTGAGTCCAGATGGGAAAAAAATTATCATAGCAGCTCCCAACACTGCTGTTTATCCCCATTTGCAGACAGGGAAATTGACTTGGAGAGTTTAAATCATTTCACTAAGGCCTTGGCCCTGGAGTGCAGTTTCTAGACTGCTGAACTATGTGCCCACACTCCCACTAACCATCGCTGAGCCTGCTTGCTCCACGGGACAAAAGTCTGTGGCTACCTCACCCCAGGAGAGGATTTCAGAGGAAGGAACTAGCCAAGGATGTCCTGAGGCCTGACTGAGTCCTCCACTGTGACCATGAATAACCTCAGGCCACCCCAACAGGAAGCAAAACAGGCCTGACTACCAGGCTTAGCAAGGGTGGGGCATTTATCTCCCCACAGCCTGTGGGATGGGAACCCAGGAAATTTCCCTTCACTTATCAGAGAGAGAGAAGTGGTACCAGAGCAAAACACTGGATTTGGGGTAAGACAGGCCTGTGTAGAGAGCTCTGGCTTTGCTGTGTATGGGCAGTGTGGCCTTCGTTTGGGACACTGAGGCTCGGAGCTGAGTTGTCATCGTATGGCTGGCACCACCTGCCCTAGAGCCAACAGAGCTGGGTTTGACATCTGGCTGACACGCCATTGACTGCCTAGGTCACACAAACTTTTTCCTTCTCTTAACCACAGTTTCTTCTCCCTGTAAAATGGGAATAGTAATACTGATCTTTCCAGAGTGTTGTAAGGACTTCAAGAGACTGTGCCTGTGAAAAGCTCAGCCTGGAGGGACGCAGAGATCTGAGCAAGTGGCGAGCAGGAAGCTCCAGCCCAGCACTTGCACTTCCCCCAGCTGCCCTAAATTCCCAAGCCTGTCTAGTCCTACCACCTAGAGACCCTAGACAGACTTAAGGAAACCAGTACTGAACAAGATAATCTCAGACAGGTGGTCTGGAGAAGGAAATCTGGGAAAATGTGAGTGGGAATGATTGGGGCAGGACTCCTGATTTAGACAGACTGGTCAGGGGAGACCTCTGAGTATCAGCTCAGTCAAGACCAAGCGACCAGGCTCACGAAGCTCTGGTGGAAAACGCACAAACTGGCACGTTTGGGGAACTCTGTGTGATGGAAGTAGAATGAGTAAGAGGTAGAAAAAGGGATGGGGTGAGCAGAGGCCTGCTCATGTAGGCCTTTGTGAGCCTAGGAGGAGTTTAGATTTTTATTCTAAGTCTGCAGGGAGGCCATTGGAAGATGTAAGCAGGGGAATGACAAGGTCCCAAATACATTCTCAGAAGCGCCCTCCAGCTTTCTCAGCTGTGCAGAGAATGGATTGATTGATAGGGGCCAAGAACAGAAGGCAGACAGGTGAGGAGGCCATTCCAGCCATTCCAGCAGGAGACTCTGGTTGCTCAGACCAGGATGGAGACCGAGCAATAGGAAGAGAAGAGGGACATATTTTAGAGGGCATGTGTTTTGGTTCTCCAGTGCCACTTTAAAGGAATATCACACATGGGATAGCTTTAACAAACAGGGATTTATTCTCTTAACAGTTTAGGAGGCCAGAAATCTGGGTTCAAAGTGCCACTTCTAGGTGCTGGGTGAAAGCACCTCAACCTTGGGCTTCAGTTCTGCCTTGTGCTCCTGGCCCACTGAGGCTGGAAGCTTCTCAGGCTGCTGCTGGCTGCTGAGGCTGACAAACCCAAGGCTGACAACAAGATGGCACAGTCCCACGATTACCAAGCAACATAGAAGGCCACTAGTTCAAGTTCCAAAACAGTCCCAAGTTTGGCAGGCAACCATGGCAGGCTGCTGACCGATGACTTAGCTACATGCAGGGTCCAATTGTGCCAAAAAGCTCAGAGACCTTTCTCAAAGTTGTCTTCTTATATGCTGGAAGCAAATCACATCCCTAAAACAGCTACTCAGCTGCTCCAGTCGACTCCACCATGGAGTTGATTACCAGTCTCATCACGGGGAATAACTATGTCCAGCTGCCCAGCCACTCAAAACCAGGCCCAGCCCACACATACTATTAACTATCACAGCATGTTTTAGAGGAAGAGCTGACCACTTGTTGAGCAATAGTAATAGTTACTCAAAGTCATGGTCAAGGCTAAAGGAGCCCAGCATGGAGTTACAACCTTTTGAATATAAAGAATTTCCTTGTGCTTTAAATTAAATTGAATGCTACCAGGCTTTTGACGTTGGAAGCTAAGTGACCATAAGCACTAAGCACTGAATTAGATGTGGGAAAAGAGTCGAGGAGGAATAATAGAATCACTGGAGGATAAAATCAGAGGCTCTTAGAGTATCCTTACCTTATCAGGCCCTGAACACACTCTCCTGATTCTGTTTACCTATCTCTCCCATTACACCACGGGCTTCACAGGGGCTGACTCTTTACCCGTGATGTCCCCATGTCCAGTTCAGAGCCTGCCACATGATTATCATTAGTCATCAAGTTGACCCCAACACATATAGAACATGTCAGGTGGATCTTGGCTGAAAGCAAAGAATACCAGAGAGATTTGTGTATGTTATGGACTGAATTGTGTCTCTCAAAAATATGTGGTGGCACAGTTATT